AGCAGGAACGGGCAGCATGACTGCACGACTGCATATTTAAAAACAGACAAGAAACAGACACAGAGGATCTTTTTATGGTGATAGACACTCACACCAGAATGTGAGACTAGCTGAAGTAATGTTAATGTTTGCAGTCAACAGAAGTTATCTTGAAATTACTGCAGTACAAAGCTGTGTGGGAAGAGCTGTTGCTTCCCAAGCCCCGTGCACAGCCGCGGTGAGGCTCTGTGGGTGTTGGCCACTGTCTCCATGCAGCACTGGTGGCAGCAGCAGCAGCCAGTGGTAGGGATGATGCCAAGACTCAAGACTTCCCTCTTGTACCACCCTGCCCTTAGCTGGATCCAAGACACAGTTACTGACAGACATAGTACAGCACAATGTAACACTGAGCAGCATACCTTACTATTGCCAGCTAGTGGGTGGTGGGACTGGACTGAGGTTCAAAAGCCACTGTGTCCCTTTTAGAGAGAATAAGCTATGTTTTGCCAAAGGTTAATAACAAGATTTTTTCCTGGTTCATGCATCACGCTGTGTATGACTGACTCACCTCCACAAATGTTGGGGTTTATATAGGCAGAAGAAGAAGAAGAAACCATAAATCAAGAAGGAAAAGACTGCTACATCATTATATTAGGCCTATAAATTACAGAATAATCAAAAATTATGTCAACGCAGGGATACTCTAAATGACAAAAGTCCAAATCTTTTTTTTCTGGGTTTTAATGTAAAATTGTACATTTCTAAGTAAAAATCTAATATGCAATATTTTAGTGCATATGTCTAGAGGCACAGGCCAGTACATCTCCCACTCTCATTCACACCTGGACTGTTGCTATAAAACTTCCTATTCAAACAAACAAAAAGCCTTCCTCTTACTAATGGTCACGGAAGTACCAAGGTTAAGAGCAAAGTACTTGCCTTCAGGTATGGAAAGTATGTAGCTAAAGATAAGTAAGTTTATGACATGAAAAATAGCAACAGATTTTCAGAATGCTCTCAATAATAACCTATTTGTGTGCTGGAAATGTCCTGTGGACAGAGGGAAGAAACTATTAACTGAAAGCAGGTTTAATTAGAGTAAACATTTTTAACAAGTCTTCAGTTGTTCTACTGTAGTTTATTCGATATGTTTGATTACTTTGATATATTTGTGTTTCAGTAGCTCATTCTGTATGCAACTAATCCAAGTTACAAGCAATATCCTTAGTTGTGTTATGAGAGCTTAATTTCTTCTCCTGTAATATGCTGTGTTAAACAGTGGAACTGACAACCGTTCTACAGGAACATCTAGTCTTAGAAGACATAAAAATGCTGCCATTTTGTACTGCCTTGGTGATGTCACTACTTTTTGGAAAGCATCTGGGGACTTCACAGGTCTTAATCTGGCAAGCATGAAAAACTATCTAAAAGGATTACTAAAATAAATCCAAAGCCTGGGCATCAGTGTATATGAACCACTTGAGTTGCACCTCCATAGTTCGTGCCTAGATTTCACCCTATGTATTTAAACTTCGCAGTAAGTGCCTGTGTCATCTGGACATGAGTGGTGTTCTTAACTTGCTTTGCAAATACCCTTGGTTGAATGAGGAATCATAAATATGTCTTTCACAAACATCGCTGATAAACCAGAATGTTTTTAAGCTTGATGTTATACTAATAAGCCAAGATCTAGCATAAGTGGCACAGATTCACATATTAGTCCTCATAATACAAAAGGCACAGCAAAATTCCTGGTTGGATAATATAGTGAAAATCTGTGAAAAGTGACTTTCTTGAATTGCACATCTGCAGCTTTTAGCAGCCTCACTCTATTTTGTCAATTTTTAATAACAGATAAAAAGGTGACTTCATGTTACAAACCAACAGGAAAATTTGGCTTCAATCTGTGTTCAAGTTGATCAATTTCATTCACTGAAGTCAGGGAGAAAAGTACAGTTTTGCTTCAAGCAGCCTTCAAGGCCAGGCTGGATAGTGCTTTGAGCAACCTGGTCTAGTGGAAGGAGGACCTTGGCAGGGAGGTTGGAAGTAGATGATCTTTAGGATCCCTTCCATCCCAAACCATTCTCTGTTCTATGATCTACAGATAAGCATTTCATGTAACCACCTTCCTTCCAGACACAGAAACACCCTTCCCAAGCAGAAGTTAACACTTAAACCTGGAAAAGAGTAATAAAAAAAGGCAAAAATACCAATACTTTCACTCTCTCTTATTTTACAATATCCCAATATACTAATTAAGCAAGTCAGGCAAAACTGACTGGTAGTTTCAAGGCAAAGTCTCTGAAGGACTCTAACATTTGAAGTAAGGAAATATACCCTTCTTGGAATGGCTGTATTAAATTCCTTTTTATAGGAAATTGACTGCTCCTTTCTGTACATCAAGAAGTCTGAGAATATTTTACAAAAGGTTTATAATGAAATTGCCTCCAAATCCAAAACGACATCAGTGCCACATATTGCACTGAGCAGTTAAATAATTACATTACAGATCTAATGGCTAGATTACCTTAATCAGCTTGCAGTGAAAAGAAATGGGAGTGTTTATTGGGGAAAGTGCTGAGGAGCCTGGGTTATTTAGAAACCTGCCCATCAACAGAACTCAGTTTAATTTGATTCTGAAATGGTGTTGACTGTTTACTGATCTCTTTTCTGTGTTACCACAAAATCATGTTTAATATTGGATCATAAAAGGACGGACTATGTATCCTTCACAGTTGCTTTTTCATACCAGGTCCCTTCATCCTGTATTATCACATTTCACCTTTTCAGGCAGTGTTATAGTTGATAGAGAGGTAAATTTTGGGCGTGGATCTTAGAAGTAGCTGGAGAATGGATTTGGCTTCAAGTCAAAGAGTTTAAGTGTATATTTCATTCTTTATTAAGTGAATAACACCTATATATAAGTGCCTTGCTGAAATGAAGCCTGGATGGCTATAGTTATGAAACTTTCGCTTTGAGTAAGGAGACATGTTGCAAGGTCCCTTGAGATTCCTTGTAATAGAATCTTCCTACTTATGAAAACAAGCATTTTATGCAATGGTTTATCTAAAAAAAAAAAAAAGCAAGAAACAAAATGGAGAAAAATACTTTCCTAAGTCTAAAGTCTAAGCTTTGCTAAGAAGAAGCTAAGATCATCTGAGGTGCGAGAATAAACTCACAGTGTGATTGTATATACCTTGTTTTCCTGGAAAGCCAGGTAAGACACTTTTAACATAGCTCCACAGGGTTTTCAGAGAAAGCAGAATTAATGAGAAATTAAACTGTTAGGGACTAGACTCTGGGCCCTAACTGTCCTACAAACATTAAAGAGAATGATGGTGTATTGTCTCATTTCTGAGTGGCTATTTTGTTAACAATGTCTTTGAGTGATGAGAAAAAGATGTTGAGGAACTAGGAAAGGAGTTTGTTTCATCATCTTCCTATTTCCATACACACAGAGACACAGCACGTTATGAGGTACTTATAAACTGGAGTGTTGGGTTAATCTCTGCCACTACTGATGAATTAGGGTCATAATGTAAGTCATTTACCCTAAGGAAAAGAAAAAAAAACATAATGGCTTGGAATAGTAGAAGTGCCTATGTCAGCTAAGATAATAAAGTAAAAAATGTAATATATTACCTGAAAAGTCAACTTTGCTGGGGATATTTAAAGAGCTGAAGGTTAACCAAAAGCAACTGAGTGATTGCTGTCTCACATTTATCCTTCTTTTAAATAAGATGACCTATTTCTGGATGATGTTTGAGAGTATTCTTTTTAACATTCATTTTTGCAGTTTTGCAAATGTTATTCTCTTATAACTGAAATTAACGTTTTCCTTAATTTTGAAAAATAGTCTGCATCTACTGAATAGCTGTTTTGCCAATAAGCGTCACTAGTTGTGATGCTGGTAAAAATCTAGTTTGGGACACAATAGAACCATCTATTATGGAATGCTTCTAGCAAAAACATGCTGTTATTACTGCTATGGTACTTCACTTTGTTTCAAAGTATGTCTTTGGGTTTCTATTTTGGCATCTTTTCATATCAAAATGTTGTCTCTGCTGCAATCTGGGGAAATTGAAAATCGGTGCTAAATTACATAAATAGTCCTTTTTTAAATCAGCTGCTTTTCATCTGCTCAAACATTTTTAGAAAGGCTTTTAAAAGAATCAAAGCTGGAGCAAAAAGAAATGTTATGGAAACGATAAAAAACCCCAACTCACCCTGTTTAGCATGCTCTTCACTGCACTAATACCCTTAAATTAAGGGGAGGGTTTTCATTTATGTTTTAAACAGTCCCAAAATGGAGCAAGGATGAATCTGCAGACTTTTGGAGATTTCTCCTTCTCTCTGGAACATTATGCAGAGCTCAGGCCTATTTCTAAATTTTACTTTTTTGAAACTTGGATTAAACGAAAGAGTGAATTTTGTAAATAATTTACAAGAGTTAAAGCTGTCCAGATCTCCTCATTTCAATAAAGAAATGTAAATAAATGTCTACTGATAGCAAAGCAGACTAACATAATGTGATTGTTGTCTCTTGTAATGTTTCCTTTTACTGTAATACTTACCACATAGCAGAGCAGTCAAAATTCACTAGGAGCCATTTGTGAGGATTAAAGTTAAATGAATCTGCAAACTGAGCATGGAAAAATAAAAACAGAATTATGAAAGAGAAAGGGATCCTTGTGCTAGTGATACAAGTGTGTCAAATTGTCTGAGTACACACCTTACTATGAGTGAATTCCTGAATTGGGTCTTTAAATGTTCAAGCAGATGTCACCTTACTTAATAACTATTATAACTAAATCTTCATTTATTTTGTGAATGGAATTCAGGTTACGTGTGCAGGCTGCTGCTATTATCAACATTTTCAGCATTTGTTAACAACTACACTTTTAGATACATATGTTTTGGAAAAGTAGATGTCTCATTGTAAACTAAAAAACCAATCTGCATAGTCAGAAACATCCACTGTGGTTCATATATCCCATTTTCCAACAACAATTCACTAAGCTTTCTACTTCCAAGAATATTAAACATACACAAAATTCATACCTAGAGACAAATGATATATTTAAATCAGAATCTGCGTATCGCAATCATTCTTAAAATTACAACTGACTAGGAAATTATTATATATTTTTATTTTTTTACTCCCAGGGTATATTCTTTAGTAGAATTGTTTTTTCAGCTAAGTCAAAATACCCAAACAACAAAGAGTCAGCACTTGCCATACATGTTTATATAAATCATGTGCCAGGCCTGGTTCACTTCACATGTGTTTAGACACGGCAAGAGAAGTAACACAGGTAGGTAAGATGGACATCATGTGGGAAAACCTTCATCCATGTGTTCTGTTTTAACAAAGGCAGAAGTCATCAGCCTTAAAACAAAGAGATGGAGCCTGGCAGCTCCGGGGTCTGACTACTCCACACTGCACTTTCCTGTTCTCATTTGCTTCTCATAACTTTCCCTGTCAGCTGTAAACTATTAACAATTGCTCTAATAAGAGAAGATTGTCTGTCTGTCTGTCTATCTATCCATCTATCTATCTATCTCCCTGTATAATGCAGGGTAGGAAACCTATTCATGGTTCTTAAATATTTGCTCTTATGACAAATGCTGGCTCAGACAAGGGATGCTGTTTCATTTCCTTCAGGAACCAATAACAATAATTCAAAAAATATTCCCCCACAGGAAATTACAACAAGCTTCATTTGCTGATAAAAAAAAGAGACAGAAAGAAATGCTTTATTTGTGAGGGGGTTTTCCCTCCTCTTCTTCATTAGTCACTACCTATCAGTGCTGTGTTTAAACTTCTGGCTTTACCAAACAGTAATATTTTCTCCACTGACGTGGAAGACAAGGACTTATCTGGCTGTCTAAGGGGAGCAGCAGGAAATTGAAGTATCCTTATCTAAGCAACTGAATGCCAAGTAGCTCAGCAAGGGGTGGGAGGGAAAGAACAAGAGTGCTGTGGGGGGAATATTTCATTTAGCTCTCTTGGTTATTAAACCCTGTCTGTTTGAGATAGAGCTACTGGCTCTATCCTATATGACTTTCAGGATGTAAGAAAAAAAATCAGACATAATGAGCTCATTGATTTGTTGAACTTTTTTTTTTCATTGTTTTTGTGCAATGTAGAATTAGGGTGTTATAAATGTGTCTTTTGGGATATTTGGGGGAAATTTCCTCTTTGCTATTTTGTAAGATGCTTTGTTGATTCACTACGACTTGCTATTCTGAATGACAAACTTCTACATAGTGATGTAGCTTGCATCATCCTGGTATAAACCAGTAAAAATTATATAAACTTAAGTAATACAATAGAATATACAGGGATTTGCAGTGCAAACTGATGTGTGGCTAACTCAGACATTCTGGAAGAGCCATTAATCCTGGAGGCATAAGAAACACACAAATTCTATGAAAGAGCAAGGTTTCAGTAGGCTGCTAGAGAAAAAAAAATACTTCATTCACCTCCACTCCATTTAAAAGATGCCTAAATTCAGGGCAGATGAAGGCACTCCCAGCATAGGCTGCATCAATATGCATCCAGATACTTTCCTTATTACCTAAAAAAATAATTGAAGGGGAAATTAATTAAACAGCGGATTAAAAAGCCCTATTAATTTGCATGAAACCAAATGCCTGGGAGATTTTTCTTTGATGTTATTATTTTCTCAATTTAAAATTAAATTAAGAGATTAAATGTTTCTACCATCTGGGTTTACATTAATACATAATGATGTATACATAACTTATTATTTTTCCTCCCCTCTTCTACTTGAACAGAGTCCTTACATGTCTAGGTTTATCTTACTAATATTAAGCAACATAAAATATTATGTGATTTGGATTTAAGAACCATTATAAAATACACTTTAAAAAGATGTAGCTACAGATTTAGCTATCATTTCTATGTTAATAAAACTGCTTTAGCAAGAGGAGTTAGAATATTAGCCATGCTCCCTACTTCTAACTCATGAATCACAAACACATGTTTCTAAGCAGTATTCTTCACACACTGATCTATGTGCATGCACATGCTTTTGAGCTATGTGAAGCAAACTATTTAATTCAAGGGCTGAGACACAAAAGCAAGTGTTGAAAAGTAAAGAAAGTGCTAGTTTTGATTAGTCACTGAATGGTTTCTGCAGACATATTTTGGCATAGGAGCAGCTCATGTATTCTCTGAAATTTAGGATTCACACTCTTCTATAGATCACCTGTGTTAATGGATTCTGTAACAATTCTGGTCTATGAGTTGATGGCTGAAGCCCACATAACATCTGTACACTGGTCACCAAATAATTCTGATGGGTATTTCCACATACAGAGGTATATCCATTCAGCTCTGCAATTGGGCACCAAGTTCATTCTGGAATTTGCCTTCTTGTGAACTACATTTTCTTTTTGCATAATAGTCTGGAAAAAGCTAATAAAATATTATTCATAACATCCACAACTTAGGTTTGTTTGAAAACGTTGAAAGTTCAACTGATTATTTATTTTCCAATATACTTGGTTTGAGACACTTCCTTTATTTCACAGGATCACTACTTATGAGTTGCTAGACCTAAGAGTATTGGTGTCACTGTTTTATTGGGTCAGGTTTATAGGAATAGCCCAAACAGCAAAATAATCTGTAGCTGCTAAGCAGACTACTAGAAACCTGTTTAGAAAGGAGAACTGGGAGAAACTGAGTCTCTGGGGCTTGCACTGAAGAGCAGGAAACCTCACAAAGCAAGTACCCATCATACAAATCTCAAAGTTTTAAACCCCACCTGAATAAACTGAAAGAACATCAAGTCTAGCTGTGTTTCTCTGAGGCTGCTTCCAAATGCTTATGGCTATAAATTTCCTGTTCTAAACATACACTCAAATGGATATAGTGTGATTTAGATGCATTTTCATCAGCCAGTGTGTCTTTTCGACCAAGCCCTGCTGCAGATCAAAGCTTGGCACAACAAACCATTACATAGAAACACTTACGAGGAGTCCATGACCTGATCACTGTATTAAACACCCTGGCACTTTGTCTATTACCTTGAAAGAGGGAGAAAATTGTGGAAGGGAGAGTAAGGATTAAGAATACGTGTGGAGTTTTGGTGCATATTTCCTTTCTTTTTACGGTTGTTAGAACCAGGCAGAAACAAAACACTTGGTCAGAGGAGAATTACAACTTTTCCCTGATATTCACCATTCTCTAGAAGGTAGAAGGACTCTGAAAAAAGTGCTACAAACTGAAGCATTTGCAGTAATTTTTAACTGACAAGTGTTTCCAAATACGCCTCCTCCCAAAAAGGAGAAACCCTTGAGGCAATATCCTCAATACTCTTCAATGGTTTGAGACCAAATTTGCTGCTTGACCTAATATTAAAAATAAAACTGTAATCAAAGATCTCATCTATAAGTAGATTTACAGAAATTGGACACTGACACTGCACAGTGTCCTGGAAATGACTGTGTGGCCTAAACTGGTATCTGCAATTTTTAGAAAGAAGCAGCAACGACTTACAAATAGGACCCAGTTCTAAGAGTTTGTCAAAGGAGCAGCAAGGTGTGGTTCCAAGTGTTGCACAGAACTGCAGGGAAAAAAAAAAAAAAGAAGTGTTACAGCACAGAAAATTACCAAATTGAAAAAAAAAGAAACAACAACAAACCCATCTGCAAAGGCAGCAATAAGCAGAAAGAACAGATGATACAGGGCAAAATGAATCAACCTTAGCCATTACCTGTCCTTAGTGGAGCTCTGAGAATGTGGGTGTTTTGTTCTTTTCAAAGCTCCTGTAAGTGTCCATTGAAACAGATGCATAAAATCAAATGTTAACATAAAATTGACTGATAAGTACAGCAATATAGTCACAGTATTATGCTAATGCTATATTTTATACATTTTCTATGTGTTCCACATGCATATCGTGTGACCCAATACTAACCTCACACGGGCAATTGCCATCAAAATGATTTGCATTTCATTGTATGTATGCAAGTTCTGAACTTAAGCAACTTAAAGGTGCTGGAATTCTGTCGACAGAGTAGATCATCAAATGTTGCTGCTTTGATTAGAGCCACAGCTCTGCAACAGAGATTTGTAACTGATTTATACTCCATGGATCTGCAGCCTGAACCTGTTCACTAGTAGCATATATTCACTATTATGTTTGCAAGATTTTTTTTCCAAGAGAAACTTCTCCCAAATTCATCCTAAAATACTGAAACTCTTCTTCCTTCATTCTGTTAATGTTTCATTTAATGTATCCTTCTCTGTGACCAGTGGGCCAAAAGCAGAGGCAACATAAATGCTGAAGTTTTAGCAGCAAAAAGAGAATATAACTAGGTGAAATGAGCTATTGTAATTTACTGGGAATATGCAGGTAGAATTATAACCAAAAAACCAATCCCAAACAACTACTAAGTGCATATAAACTGACATTATTTTATTTTTCATTGCTACACTTATGTCTTAAGCACCCTGTCTCATTTCTGAAAGCACTAATAAAGGCTGGGTCTGGCTTTTGTCTCATACTGAAATTTTACATAATAAAAGACACTGTACAGTTTAAATAGACAAAGAAAGGATGCTGGTTTTTAGTCCAAGTACTGAAGTACAAAAGAATTAGATAATTAATCCAAGGTCACACACAAACTATAGCACAGCCAGAAAATTACTACAAAAATGTCAAATCCAGAATTTTGCTTTTTTTATTTTAGTAGTTCTGGTTACTTTTTCTGCCAAGTACATTGTCAATGCACTTTTTTTTTTTGTTTTCAGTTTTTGATACATCTGCAATTAGCCACATTTTCCTGGGGGTGTGTGTGTTTGCTTGTCCCTCAGGAAATTCATGACAAAACCTATAAGAAGAGAAAGGAAAACCTAAATGATACTTGTCCATCCACTAGACCTCTCAATAAACAAACCTACTGTTATAGCAAAACATGAAAAAATTAAATATTAAAATAATAAAGGGACAATTCAGTATTTTTTCCATATCAAGCTACTAATAACCTGAGTCTGAAACAAATGTGGTTGTGAAAATGAGAAGCACATTGAATATACAGTTAGTAAAATTGTGTGCTAAAACATTTTCCCCTCAAAATAATTTAATCTCTATCTGTACTGGGCCTTCCCATATTCCTGAGACACATGGGAAGAACAGAAAAATTAAAAGTGTCTTGAGGTATGTTTATGACTTCTCTGGAAGACCAATCACGCTTTGAGGGAGGTTACTTTGAAAAGATTGGAGGATATTTTTTTTGATAGGAAAAGCTTGGTCCCTATTTTTAATAAGTACGAGTGAAAATATATATATTACATTGTTGTCTACTTAAGATGTTCCCACAATCAGGAGAAATCTGCATTTCATCTTTGGCTGAACTATACATCTACACATTGGATCACAAGAAATGGAGCATAACATGATGAAAATTCCAATTTTTCTATAGACATAAAGAATAGGGGTTAACCCATTGGACTGGAAAATACTCAAAAGAGTGCACTGTAGACTTAACTGTGCTTTTATACATATATTTTATGATAATATGGTATGAACTTTCTGACAAGATTAGAGTGAAATTATCTAGGCTAGTCCAGCAATTAAAATAACAATGGAGATTTCACAACAGGAAGTTACTCATTATTGTTATTAGTGTTGTACTGCAGTTAAGGTATTCTCCTTCTAATCAGAATAAGATGAATGTTTTTTCAATGAGAGATTATAAGCATTCAAACATATACTTAGTTGTTTAAATAGTGGCTTATACTGTAAAATGTACCTCAGTTTCTAAAGTAATTTTGTTTTCCTCTCTGTAGGTGTCTCAGCCTCAAAGCTACTTGCTTTAATTCTCAGAAACCACTTAAAAGTGACAGCATCTGCTCTTGTCAGGGCCCTCATTACCCTGCCTCAGTACTACAGAATGAATCTAACTCAATTTGTAGCCTATGTAACACCAGGAAAATCACATTTGTGCAAAGAGCAGGGGACAGGCTGCATCACAGAGATGGGACTGATGGCTCAGTATAGCCTGCAGGCCTTATTCTTTCCAGGTTGTGCACTTCACATTTGACTCAGCCCTGGTTGCAAATACAAAGCAGCTAAAATGCTTACATCAGTCATCTCATGTATTACTTTCCTGAAATGAAGAGCTGTGTCAGAAAACATGCATGAATCTTTATCATGCCTGAGAGCAATGACACTCCGTATTTTCAACTGGAAGACTTTCTACAGCTTTCGAAAAAGATATGGACCCATTTTGCACAGTTTCACCACTAAGCTTTTCATTTGCAAATAACTGAGGCAGAACTTTCAATGTTCCCTTAATGTTTTGATTTTCTTCTACTCAGTCCTTTACCAGCTTGCACTCATGAGAATGTCTGTGGCCTGGAGAAAACTGCAACAGTTCTCTAAATCACCATTCAGTGTTTTACAAAACAGCAAACATTCACAAACTGTGGGTTAAGGAACATCACCCTAGATGTGTGTACGTGTCTCGAGAATGCTTATTCCGAGTGCAGATCTGCGGTCAGGATCTAAGAGTTAACTTCTACTGAAAAGAAGTCTGATTTATTTTTTCCTGAGTGAGTCTGCATACAAGTACAACCTGTTTCTTAATATCCTACAGATCATCATTCAGAAGAGTCATTTCAGCTAGAATCAGAGAGATTTCACGCTGGGCAGCGAGGCGATGATGTTAGTAGCTTTATACTGGATGAGGTTGTTGAAGTATATTGTACTATATATGTGCCAGCTGCAATCAGTGTTGATTTATGAAAGACAGCATAAAGCTTACAAGCCACTTACACACACTAAATCGAACTAGGCTTGAATGATTTGGACCCCACATCTGAATTTAGAAGTGCTTAACTTACTGGTGTTCACATTTGAGCATCTCAGTCAACATTCAGCCAACACAGAGGTCTCAAGCTGGGAGCACAGGGCTCAGCTGAGAAAGGCATTTATACATGCTCTTAACCACCAGTTTGTGTTTAGAATTAATAAAATGCACATGACTTCAGCACATGCTTTAAAGCTCCTCCTTAACTGGTGGCCAGGTGAAGGGCTGTGTATCAAGCCATGCTGGGAAATTGCTCCTCAGTAAATCATGGCAACTTTAGTGCCTCAACACCTGACATGGTTAAGTGCTTTGTTTGCACAATCTGCTTGCTTTAGTATATTAAAATATCTCTGTTTCAATTTCTGCAAAACTATTTTTAAAGAGACAAATTTACACAAGTAAAATAAAAAAATAAAAATACAACAACCAAAAGTAGAGGTCTGGGTACCCTATTGGCAATAGTCTTCACTGAACATAATGATATACACAATGCTAGTGCTAAAAGATATTGATGGTGGATAGGAATTCAAAACTCCTCTTAAAGACAATGCTTCTCCCCAAAATAGTCTGACTGCCAAATCCTATATACATGAAAAGCAAATCTATACTTAACAAATTGCCGTAGTGACAGAAACTGTTTCACATCAAGCAAACCTGACCCTGATTCTCCACTCACCTCTGCAAGGAAAGCACTTTTATCAAGTTCAGTATAATGAATCCTCACTTACTCATTAAATATAAGAGGAGAATTATGCCTGTGAGGCATTGTAATTTACTTGTATTTTTTCTTAATCCCTTGCAAACTTTTTCTTGCTTATAAGGGAGACTGCAACAGCTCGAGTGCAAACAAGAAGTCTTCATTAGGAATGATCTCTCTGCTGTCACAAGTCTCTTCAGGCAGAGTTTCTTCCGTCAAACTTGTTGCTTTGATGTTGAATCACTCTCCTTAGTGAAGGATCAGTGAATACAGGGAGACAAGGAATCAAGTGGTGTAAGGTGTTTCCTTGGCAATGTGCATATCTTTGTCACCAGAACAAAACAAAATAGCACCAAATTACTCAAGAACAAAAGAATTGGAAAGGCTTTTGAAATCTGCAAGCCAGGAAAGGGAGCAGTAACACAGTGCATGGACTGCTGCTCAGCATGACAGGGAATTAGCACACCTTTTGAGTTAAGAGGCCAACCATAAGGATAATGAGATCTAGTTTAATTTAAGCTGACATGTTTTATGTATACAAATAAATGGAAGACCTGGTACAGGCCATACGAACTCAGATGGAGCCTCTGCTGTCTTTGAAAGCCTGTTTTGCACAGCTAAACAAACAGAGGAAGAAAAACAACAGTTAAATCACCCTTTGTAAAGGTGTCACTGAATACATAAACCAGAATTTTTTATTTCCTCTTGCTACACATAGAAAAATCAATAATGAATGAGTATTTACGAGAGGCAAGTTCCTTCTTTGTTTTGTTTTGTTGTTTGGGTTTTTTTGCTAATGGACAAAGGCTGAGAAAAAACACATTAACTTTGTGGTTAGTGTATGAAGATGGGATATAGTGCTATAGTTGTAATTGTTTAAAATTAACAGTGAGATATACAAGTATGATCCTATGTAAGGTATTATGAGCTGGGATCATATAACAGAGCAATAAAACATGTCTTATGGCACATCTCCACCTCAATAGATGCAGCCCACAGAAAAAAAGTTCATTTTGGAAGCCCTAGACATGCTTCATTTCTCAGTCATAGTCTTACTATATCAAAAAGCAACTGACAGGATGTGCTTGGTCCTTAGGACTCACTAGTGCTAGGCAGCCTAGAAATTAGCAGCATTCTGCATATATGAAAACCACTTTTCACTCTAGTCATGCTCATACTACATAAAAACAGACTCTAAAGGTTAATAACAAGAAGAGTAAAAGGATTACATTTTTGAAAGGGCTTGGAGAAATTTAAGCTTCTTTGTCCAATTTGGCACTTATCCATGACTATAAGCAAACTAAATCTACTAATTCTTCTGAAAACAGTTCATTGAAATTCAAGTCCCCTTAGCTTTTCCAAAATGTTACTGCATGAAAGAAAAGAAACAACCGTCATGTCAGACATGACTTTTCTGAAAAAATTGTGATATACTTTTGAATCTCTTAAAAGATCCCATTTCTAACGTTCTCAATTTCTAAAATAGTTGTGGGTGGGGTTTTTTCGTCAGTTTTTCTTCAGTGAAGGCCAGTAAAAACATATTCTATGTAGCATATTATACCCCCTAATATATCTATACATCCCATGGTCTATATCAAGTTTTGTAGAGGCATAGTGCTTGGAAATAAGCAAAAAGGTTTGTTGATGATGTACAAAACCACAACAGAAGTTACTTACTTCATGGGGAAAAAAACCCCAAATGCTGAAATGTGGTTTTAAATTGAAATCATAAGATGTTTTTCTGAACTGACAGGAGGAGTAAATCTGATGACTAAGCAAATATTCTTTTTGATCAGGTACTTACCATGGTAGGACCAAACTTTAGAATTTTATCTAACACTATTCTATGTCAAAAATTGGGGGATTATGAGCTTAAGCTACTGAGACATAAATGTATTTGCTTTTGCTGAACTGTGTGAAAGAAGGAATCTCTGGCAAAGAAAGTGGACAGATAACAAGAAGTGATGACACCTAAAGTTTCCATAGCTGCTTTCCCTATTGCTCACTTGCTAGAGATTAGTTACATACTTGCAAATACCTGACTGACAATGTCTGATCTTGATGATATTTGGGGTATATTAGGGAGGTTCATTTCTTTGCTAAAGTAGTAAGGACGTGAAGCTTGTTTGAAGCTACTTAAGTTTGAGAGAGCATCGTGTAATTTATTGCCTTTAAGCATATTTTATGTGTAAGTTATAACCTGAAAAATAAAGGCAAACAGTTCAGAATCCAAGGGTTATGAGATTGTAAGACTGCAGGATTACATGCAACTACAAAATTTACCCCTGTTTATTCAATTGTCTAATATAATCTTAAGTCCTTTTAAAACATTATTTTGCTAAGAAGTGCAACCAGCTGCTCCAATTAGTTTCTCCTCCTGCACAGAAAGGCACATGAAGAACACTCATGGAACATGTCCTAGAATTCTAGCTCAGCTGCCTATCAATGCCTCTGGTAGGGATGAGATCATCATGTCAAAAGTAGCTTATCCAAAGCAATAAATCCACTGATTAATTAAAATCCAGTACTCACAAAGAATGGTATAAGACCCGCAGCTTTGTCTTCATCCAGAACTTTCTTCAGGGCTGAACCACAAACACTAAATGTATCATCTGAAGGAACATTTTTAATTTTCACAGCACCAATCAATGCAGCCCTTTCCACAGATGAGTGAGCCTACAAGGAAAGGGCAAGTTTTAAGACAGACATCTTTTATTGGCATGTAGGAAGTTTATTTGAATTTTAAAAGTAAAAATATTAATTTTTTTCAAGTAAAGCAGTGCTTAGGATCCTGGGACTGTTGAGGATATGTAACAGATACCTCTCCCTCTTTCATATAGGTAGACAGACAGATGGACATATGCATATACATACACACACACACAAAATACACTTATAGAAACCCTGAGATATTCCTGAGACAATTGCCATGGCACCATTTGGACAAGAGTTCAATTAACCTTAGTGAGAGCTTTAATTAATATGGTAGAATTGAGGTACAGTTTCAGGATTTGGCTCTAAATCAACCAAAAAACATGCAGATAATCAGCTTGCCTGATAATGATCCAGTTGCTCACTAGCATATTTTTATGGTGTACAGCTTTGCTGAACTCCAAAATAATGCACATCATGGTATGGTATAGGCTGAGGTATTTTCCTACATGACCATTTTTTTTAGATTATATACTGACTAAATTGTGATCATTCGTTTATTTGGTTGGACAAATAGAGATCATTCCCAAAACATTACTTTATTTTATTTACAACTTACTTATTTGAATTCTCCTGAAATAATAATTTTTAGAACATAAAGCACATTTCAATGAATAAAAATAACAATATCACTAAGAATTTCTAAACTTGTGAAATGCAATAGAATAATAACTAGAATAATAAGTGTATTGGCATTGAAAGATACATTTAGCCACAAACACTCTCCTTCAGCATATGACTAAAACCAAAGAAGACTGTTTTACCTTCCAACTTCTACAATTTCATAAATCATCATGAATTTGAAAAAGGAGAAAAATTCCTCACCTTTTCATGTCATGACTATTCTCATTCACGATCTCCATCCTACCCTTGCTTATTCTTGCTAGTGCCTACAAGAGCACTTATTAATTCTATTTTAATTCAGCATATAAACACAAAAAGAATAAGCCAAAACTTTGGTTGAACAAGATTATATAAAGTTTTTGTCTTTCAATTTCACATATCCCTGGAATGACATGTACTAAAGGCAGATGTACCATTAATTTGCATCTCAGCAGTGCCTCTTGTACTTCAGAAAATCTGGAAATCTAGATTTGAAATATAACTTTTCAAATGGAAAACAATGTGTGCCATAGCAATACAATACCTCATTTAAGTGTGCAATGGAAAAATGTCTTATAACTTTTTTATACAAGATTTGCAAATAAGAAAACTATAATAATACACTGAGGTTGTTAGCCAGTCAGAACCTCTACATTGCTTAATCAAGACTCAAAAATTGTAGCAAGATTCTCTTCCAAATGCATTCTTGCATTGTTGGGCTCTGTCAGTGAGTGGTTTTCTGTCCCACGGAATGGTTTATGTTTACTTTCTTTTGCGGATTATTGCCTATGAGTCACACGGGTCTGTTCTTAATGCAGGAGGAACGGTGAGCTCTGAAATAATCTGCTTTGAAAGGTCAGCAGTGTCTTAAGGCAAATCCTTCTGTAAACATATGATCCTCTGACCTTCAGTAGGCAGGAAGGCCTGTCAGTCCTCATTTCAGGTCAGCCACTTACATGGGACAAAAAATCAAAATGAGTAAAAGGTTTTGTGCATCACTGGATCAGTCTGAGCTCCGGGACTGGTGGTCTGCGTAATACTGACCTTAGGGTCCCAGGCAAAAGTAAGGACAAATATCCTTTGTGCCTCTTGAAAGCAGTTATCTTTCCTCATATTTTCTTGTCCTGAATCTTCTCACCATGCAAGTGTAGTCTCTCTTCCCACCAGCAAAGAGCAAGTGCACTTTTTAACTTGTTCTACAGTGCTTTTTAACATATACTTAGTAGCAAATCAAATTAAGGCTTCAATGGCCATTTTATTCTGCATAATCAGTTATTACTTTAAAATAAACATTAGGTACTAAGGAAGGGGGGTTTTCTGTCTCACTGGCATGTAGGTAAGAACATTTCACAGCTATTAAGAGAAACATTGCTTAGCCCTTCAGTAGGATTAGTGTGTCAGAAAGGTAGCAGCAGCAGAACCCACAAGAGTACAATTTATTTTCATTAACAGTAAGAGCATCTTATGGTCCTGTCCTGCTGAGAACTTAGCATAACTCAGTCTGCTAAATTCCACTCACAGTCAGAAATCAAGGATTACGCTTTCTGTCTCCTTATAAGAAAGATCATAGAAGCTTTCTTCTTAAAAAAAATAATGTTTTGAGCTTCTTCAAGTACTGTGACCAATCTGCTTTATATTCATGCATTAGGTTTGTCAGTGTACATGCATCTGCCCCCTGCATGTGTATAAGGGGAGGATATATGTGTTTGTTTGCACATGAGTATGTAGGAGGAAGATAGTGTGTGCACAGATGGACACACAACCCTGGATGTAACAAATGATGGTCTAGACTTAACACAACTGAAATTAACACCTTATTTACTTATCTTTATTCACTTTAAACAAGCTCTTTTTATAAAGAAGCAACACATGTAACACTGACCTCTGGATATTTATTTGTTGTATTATGGTAGCACACATGAGATTCCAGCCCACTTACCATAGAATCATGGAATGGTCTGAGTTGGAAGGGACCTTAAAGATCATCTAGTTCCAAACCACACTGCCATGGGCAAGGACATCTTCCACTAGGCCAGTTTGCTCAGAGCTCCATCCAACCTGACCTTGAATACTTTCAGAGATGGAGCATCCACAGGGTCCCTGGACAACCTATTCCTGTGCCTCACCACCTCCACAGGAAAGAATTTTTTCCTAATATGTAATCTAAACCTACTCTATTTCATTTTTAATCCATTCACCCTTGTCTTGTCACGAGATGCTCTTGTAAAAAGTCCCTCTCCATCTTTCTTGTAGGCTCCCTTCAGGTACTGGAAGGCTGCAATAAAGTCACCTCAAAGCCTTCTCTTTTCCAGGCTGAACAATCCCAATTCTCTTGGTCTTTCCTCATAGGAGGCATATTCCATCCCTGTAATGAACTTGGTGGCCCTCCCGTGGACTTGCTCCAACAGGTCAATGTCCTTCCTGTGCTGGGGACCCCAGGGCTGAACACAGTACTCCAGTTGGGGTCCCATGAGTGCACAGTAGAGGGGCAGAATCACCTCTCTCAACCTGCTGGCCATGCTGCTTTTGATGCAGTCCAGAACACACTTGGCTTTCCCGGCTGCAAGCACACACTGCTGGCTCATGTCCAGCCTCTCATCCACCAGCACTCCCAAGTCCTTCTAATCAGGACTATTCTTGATCTGTTCATTCCCAAGCCTGTATTGATACTCGGGGTTCCCCTGACCCAGGTGCAGCCTCTTGCACGTGGTCTTGTTAAACCTCATGAGGTTCTCATGGGCCCATTTCTCAAGCTTGTCCAGATCCCTCTGGATGGCATCCCATCCTTCAGGTGTGTCAACCGCACCACTCAGCTTGGTGCCATCTGGAATTTGCTGAGGGTGCACATATGTCATTAATGCAGCTATTAAATAACAGTGGTCCCAATATGGACCCCTGAGGGACACACTTATGATGCACAATAAGATTTAAAGAGGTAACACCAAACAATCATCAATCCAAAGAGTTTATACTTAATTCACCTGCCTATTCAGATGGCTTAAATTGTTAAGTATAGATGCCATGTTTCCATGTGTTTGAGAGGTACTCACCTGATCGGAAGCATAAGCCACCAGTCTGCCCATGATCTCTGCTTCTGTTAGCTCAGGCTTTTCTGACTGCACCCGTTTGATAGTTTTTGTTCTTGCAGCAAGCAGTGCAATCAGAGTGGCCTCACTTGCACTTCCCTGTGGGACAGATTGAGGGAAAGTTCAAAAGGAAGATATTCCAGGAAACGAAAATCAACATTTTCTTCTGCATGAATCTGCGAAGTTGTTAACAGAAACTGCAGATGAGAAACTGTGTAATCTCCTGCTTTTTAAGAATATGTCTGACAGCAAGGGAAGAATCTATTCGATCTTGGTGTCCTCCTTCCTGATGCCTCTTTCTGTTCTCTTTAATCTCTGTGCTTGTTCAGTTAGGCACAAGCCTTGTAATCAGTCCTAGAGAGCTGGACTCACCAACTAAAACATATATGTAAAGGGTCTCCGGTCAGGCACCAATCAGTTGTTAATCTGTAACAATGGTAGATTAACTGTTGATTTCTGTTACTCTGGATTTCTACACAATTAAGTTCCATCAGGATCTGAATGTTAACTCTCACTTCTATCAAGAAACGTGCATAATTTATAGTTTTTCTTTAATATGTAGAATTAGCCTGGGCAAGTCAATTATTGTGGCTAAAAGAGAAAAAACACTGAAAAAGCAAAAATTCTATGATTCAATATAGCTAATTGCATTTCAAAGTATTAGTTATGTACGTTTTATTCATCACAAACACACAGATGAAAGGAACAGTCGCACACTATTTCTAAATTGCACTTTGACTCACAAAACATCAGTTTAAAATGTGTCTTAGATACTCTGTGGCAACAGAAAGGGGAAAATTTTTATCCATTTATCAGTAAATTTCACAGGAGAATACAACTTCCCATAAATTCTTTTTACACTTTTCATCTAGAACAGGTAGATGAAACATGCTCTAAACTCCTCTTTTAAACTGTAAGGAACAGTTTGTAAATACATGTTCATGAATTTCAATGTATTGGGGTGTCTATACCCAAGATCAAGTTTTTAGGTACTTTCAAAGTTGATCCATCATCATGTGAATCTTCCCCTGCCAAGCACATACCAGTGCAATGAATACAGTTGATCACATTAATCAGTATGTCCAGAAACATCCCCAGTGTCAACAAACTAACTTTGGAGTGATGTTTCTTATTCTGTATCAAAGTCTACCCTCCCTCTGTTGAAGACCTGTGTATACTTACTAATTACAACAAATGCTTAAATGTTTGGGAAGGCTTATGTCTTCCCTGGAGGTGGGCCTGATCCAACAGATTTCATATGTGAGAACAATCCCAGTGAATACAGACATTCTCCTATACAGAAGATAGCTGAGCTATTATATGAGATAAAAATGCCTTCTACACATCAGTGTCTCAACAGTGAGTGTACTCAATCCAGCTGAAATTCAAGAGTCCCCTAAATATTTACCAAATGTATTGCCATGACGAGTGTATTTTAACTGCCTTTCCAGTGGTGCGAGATTTGAGGAACGTAGATGCCAGGGCACAAAGACGAGCTGGAGGCAGTTATGTGCATTTCCTATAGCTACTGCTGCTGCATACAGTATTAACAGAGAAGGATTGGTGGGAGATGTGGTGGTTGGAGGTTGTTTGGGGCACAGCTACCATGACATTATAGAGTTTTCGATACTCAGGGATGCAGAAAAGGCCATCAATAAAACTTCTACCCTGGACTTCTGAAGATTAGACTTTGGCCCGCTCAAAAGTTTGGTTCAAAGTGTACCCTTGGAAAAAGGAGTTCAGGAGAGATGGACATGCTTCAAGAAGGAGGTATTGAAGGTGCAGGAGCAGCTGTCCTGATGTGCCGTAAGGTGAGCCAGCGGGGAAGGCGGCCGGCCTGGCTGGACAGGGAGACTTTGCAGGAAATGATGAAAAAAAAGAGAGTTTAGCAACTCTGGAAAAAAGGGCAGGCTACTCAAGAAGAGATCAGGAATATAGCCAGGTCATGCAGAAAGAAAATTAGAGAGATAAAGGCACAATTTGAGTCAAATCTGGGCACTTCTGTCAGGGACAGCAAAAAGTGTTTCTATAAATACATCAATAGCAAAAGGAAGGGCAAGGAAAACTTTCATTCCTATGATTCTATTATTCTATGATTATGGCAATTGGGGGAAATATTACAGATACATTATGGTGTAAGGAAACAAATAACTCTCTTGGGTCAAGTAAGGTACAACTGCCACATGGAGGCAAAGAGTGAACAAAATTCTGACTATTAATTACAGAAAATAAAATTTTACAATCTCCTCATTGAATCTTATTTTGTATGTGGTTTGTAGCCAGATATTCAGAATACGCATCAGAATATCCGAGCATGGAGAACTCATCCTACTTTATCTGTCTAAAAAGCTAAGTATCTGAGATAAAATAATTGTTTAGGGTCCCCAAATATTCAGTAGAGAGAGATTAGCATATCCAGAAGGCAATAATTCCATCTGTTTTAGGCAGATATTCTGGACTGAGATAAATGGCTCCTCTAACGGTACCTTCTTGTATGTTCAACTTTATTTGACAAAAGGTAAGATAAATCTCACCCGGTGTAAGTTTTCTGATGAAAAATGTCAACTATTGTGTCTTTGTTATTTCTGCCATTATCAGTGCAATATTATCTAAGCAACAATGACAAAAAGTACCTGTGCTTCCTGACAGTCCTGTGGGCTAGAATACCCTGGGTGTTCAGCAGACGTGAGAAGTGTTTTACAGTCAAGATTATCACCTATTTTCTAAGAAACTGGGTTTTTTCTACTTTTTTTTACAAGCAGTACATAATCTACTAAAGAACCCTGCATAGTCAGAAGATCTGCAATATGGGCATATGCTATCAGACAACATTGCCTGAAATGCCCTTTCCAGCAATTCAGCAGACGAGAATACTTTTCATTTGTGCAAACCACTGCAACTTCTGTGATGTTCATAGAGTTTTTCAGTTAAGTTGTATGTCCTGATGGTGACATTGGGCAACATAAAGCCTGCATGCAAGACCAAATTCCATCTTGCAAGTCCCTGAAAATAACCTTTCTAAATCTGTGTTCTTCACATTATCACGAGTTGTCTCTTGCATTTAATGTGTGGGAAATAATACTAAAATAATACTAATTCTTACCTCTATTAAAATACATATGCAAGGGGATACATAAAAATATTTCATATATATGTGGAAAAACATGGCTTTTTTTTGTTTGTTTTTGTAATTACAAGCCCTTGTAAAACTGCTAGTATATTTCCAGGACATGTGAGGAATACACTTATTAAAGAAATATGCATAAATATGTAAAAGAAAATGGCTGCTAGAAATTACAATGATTAAGGCACTAATTTGAGGTATGGAAATTTAGGCCCCCACTATCCTGATCACAGCCTGACTAGGTGAGCAAATGACTTGGGCTGAAAAATAGGCTCAGCTTTCTGAGGAGTGCCGCGAGGTACCCTGTCTGTTCATCCAGGCTGTTGTGTAGTCAATGTATCTAGCAGTTCTTGCATGAATTTCCTTATACAGAAACAAAGATGAGAAGGAAAGGGTCCAGCTGAATCTTATCTCCTGATATACATCATAGCCTAAAGGCATCTGAATCCAGCTACTTGGAAATGCTTTTGTGTATCTCACAATAGTCATAGGCTTTTTCATCTTGCCTCAGTTTCCATCAGTCACCTTTTTTTACACTGAGTCACCTTTTTTATACTGAAGTGTTTGCAGAACATGGTTTGCAGGGCTCTTCTGTACACTTGGCACCAAAGTCTTGTGCTAAATATTTCTGAGGAGAAAAAAAAACCCCTTGGTTCTTGAACTACTTGGCTAACTGACAAGAAAGACAAATCAGCAGTGTTCCTTGCCAGGCCAAAGATATTTCTGTCTCACCCCTAAAATACATTTTCTTTGCAGAGCAAGAAAACTCTTTAAAATTCAAAGTAGGTACACTTTTCAGCAGTTTATCTAGAATGAACAGCAGGATACAAACTTCAGGAAGAAAGTTGCTTTCTCGCTTATTTTTAAAAGCTGCTTCTTTTCTCCTCTTGAACACTGCATTCTGTATTAAGTGAAGGATGATGATACCTTTCCTTTTACCACAAGCAAACAAAGGTTGCCATGGCAAGCAGGCTCAAGAGGTGGAAGAAATATCAGCAAGAGCTGATGTTCATGTCCACCAGAGCTCTGAACTGAAATTTTCTTTCATCTTTTGCCATTTTCAAGTGTCATCCTGCACACAACAAGTGCTTCATATTGACATAGACTTTCAAATATAATTAAGAGCCAATTTTCACAGGCTCAGTTTTACCCAATACCACAATAATTACTTGGCATTTACCAAGAGAATGACTGGCACTTTCACACGCTCATGTTGTCTTTGCTTCACGCTTTCTTATTTGTATCATTATTGTTTCAAGAACAAGACAAGAAGATCTGCAGCACAAATGACATCATCGTAAGCAGGAACACAGAGTCAGCTTTTGATTCTTGAAATTGACTGGTTTCTGATGAAAATTATAGGCAATCCA